CCCTTGGGACGCGCGTCAGTTGTCGCTCACCGTATTGACACCGGTCATCATACTCCACTTCGTCAGCGCCCCTACCGCGTCTCGCAGGCTGAACATGACGTCATCACTCAACACGTCGACGAGATGCTGCAACGTGTTGTTATTCAGCACTCACACAGTCCTTGGGCTTCGCCAGTGGTCTTCGTGCGAAAAAAGGATGGCTTCATGAGGTTTTGCGTGGATTATCGTCGACTAAACAACATCACACGCAAGGATGTTTATCCCCTGCCACGCATTGATGACGCCTTGGATCGCCTTCAAGGTGCGGAGTTTTTCTCTTCACTGGATCTGCGCTCTGGATATTGGCAAGTGCCAATGGCTGAACCAGACCGTCCAAAAACGGCGTTTGTGACCCCTGACGGCTTATATGAATTTAATGTCATGCCCTTCGGTCTTTGCAATGCGCCTGCGACTTTTGAAAGAATGATGGACAGTGTCCTCAGGGGACTTAAATGGCACATCTGTCTTTGCTATTTAGACGACATAGTTGTATTCTCGACGAATTTGGAACTCATCTTTTCCGTCTGGAACAAGTTCTCTAGTGCCTTACGGCAGCCAGGTTGCAACTAAACTTCAAGAAATGTCGTTTTGGCGCCCGCAAACTCACAATTCTCGGCCACGTCGTTTCAAAAGAAGGAATATCGCCAGACCCTGCCAAACTGCGTGCCGTTGCCGAGTACCCCAAGCCTACTACCCTAAAGGAGCTTCTTAGTTTCGTGGGCTTGTGTTCCTATTTTCGGCGTTTCATTCGCAATTTTGCCTCTAAAATTGCCCCTCTGACTCAGCTTCTCTCTCGTAGCACGGACCTCTCAAGCTGGAATTCCCACTGCGATGAGGCATTCACGGCGCTACGCCGGCTACTCACCTCTCCGCCAGTTCTCCGCCACTTCGATCCCAATGCACCCACTGAAATTCACACGGATGCAAGCGGTGTTGGCCTCGGTGGCATTCTCGCTCAACGCAAGGATGGCTGCGACGAGTACGTTGTCGCCTATGCCAGCCGTACACTAACGAAGGCAGAGTCCAACTATTCCGTCACGGAAAAGGAGTGCTTGGCTATCATTTGGGCTATAGGAAAATGTCGCACCTACCTTTACGGACGCCAGTTTGATGTTGTCACAGATCACCATGCCTTATGCTGGTTAGCGTCCATGAAAGATCCTACTGGCCGCCTCGCTCGTTGGGCTTTACGCCTTCAGGAATACGATATCCATGTTGTTTATCGCTCAGGACGCAGACATTCAGACGCCGATGCACTATCCCGTTCTCCACTGCCTCCTTACCTTGCCTGCTTATCAACTGCCCTTTGCGATTCGTCATCGTTGGGCATCACTGACATGCCATCCGAACAGCGCAAGGATCCCTGGATCAATTCTTTGCTTGACGTCCTCTCTCACAGTTTATCAGAAACGACTTCACACTCCCTCTCTAGTCAAGCAAGACACTTTGCTGTCCGTGAAGGCTTGTTGTATCGCCGCAATTACGTGACGGACGGCCGTAGGTGGCTCCTTGTCATTCCTCGTCATTTGCGTTCGGACATCTGCGCTGCCTTTCACGATGGCCCCCAGTGTGGCCACGCTGGAGTATTTAAGACTTACTCTCGCCTCCATCTAAAATACTACTGGCGCGGCATGTATCGGCACGCTCGCCAGTACGTTCGGTCATGCACCACGTGTCAACGACGCAAGAAGCCTTCTCACAGCACTGCTGGCCCTTTGCAACCCTTAACCTACCCAGCACCTCCATTAAATGCGACGAGGAAGGTTGCCTAAAAATACAGGTTATTATTCCAGAAACGTTAGTCGCAACAAGCTGGAACAGGCAGGAACCCGGCAAGCACGAGCCACACACGGACGTCAACGTCTTCTTTCACGCTGGCACAGAGCTGACGCCACTATGCTTCCGTACAATAATTATATTTACGGGTAGCATTGAAACCACAATGAACACCCAATATCAAGTGACCAAACACTACTGCTTACCCGTGACGACACCTTCACTAAAATATGCGTAGGTAAAACATATTTCAGGTATAGTAGCGTTATTATTGCCGAATTATTAACTTCTAAAAAGCAACTATAGCTTCCCACAAAGCAAAAACTCTTTGAGAATACCTTGTAAGTTTCTCTGAATGTCCTTTGTGTGTCGTAAGAAATTGCGATGAACGGCAACTTCTTGCAGACCTAAGTTGAAAATGAAAACTAAAAGCTAGATATTAAATTTTTTTCTTTAGTACGCCTACGAAGATTGTTTATACTGCCATCAGAAGCTGCTATAAGATTGCTTCAGTCTACTGACAGACTCTCTCAGTAGCTTTTTTGAGTTAAGAACTGTTGTAAATTTGTACGCGAATAAATTGCACATCAAGAAGTCGTCATTTTATCAATCAAGAAGCGAATCTATTGTTCACGGATATAAAAATTATTCCATTTCTCAATGAAAGAGTGTATTTAAAGTAAAAGTGCAGCAATTATTAAACTATATGCTCAAAAGTAGTTGTACAAAGACATCTATAACTAATAATTGGCATCTTAGTCACTTGCTTATCGAGGAATGCATTACGCGCGTGAAGAAATATTACAAAAACTGCCAGGAAAAAAGCAATGAACAAACTGAAAGTAAAAATAAACCTATGAAAGTGTTATTCCTATCAGTTGAAGCAGCACAAATAGCCAGGATAACTAAGCAAGTACCAAACCGCTCACTCCGAGATCATGAAAAAAAATTCACATCACAATGCAAGGATATCAACAAATGTAAGCTATGAAAGTATTCATCTACCCCCTAACAAAAACAACACAATAATGGCTTCAAAGAAGATATAATACTTCTTCCCTAGTACTACACTACCGTAATCAAACTCCGGAGGTGAGGTCAAGGAACGTATAAGGGGCGTTTATTGCAGTGTTTTAACTATACCGCTCCCACTAAAGAGAGCGCTAAAAAAGCTTCTCCCAGCAGAGACCGAACATTAAACTTTAAAACTTCTCCTCAGATGCCCCACTATAAAAGCAATGGCGGCGCTAACCAACTCGCGCTGTAAAAAAAATCTTTGAATATTGTTCTATTATTCACTGATACGAACTTTCTTTTTCTAGCAGGTTTGATGCATTTACGTGGTATGCGAATCTCTATTTGTCAACTGTGCCCTGGATGATAATAGCTTGATACGTAGAATCTAGGAAAAAAAGGAAACTTGCCATCATGACCCAGTGCAGCGTTCGCTAACATTCCGAAGTTTAGAGGAGCATAAGAACGCCACAACGTGGACGAGCAGACAGAGTGGTAACGTAGCTGATTTGCTGAGGCGCAATGCGCAATGTAAATGTTGGATGCGCAATAGAAATGTTGGAGTCATTATTGCGTGGTTTCTGTTAGGGCGTGGATGCAAAAAAAACGAGCCCTTCAAATTCCATGCGCTCACTGCATAGGTGAGTTTTATGCAGCTGTATTATCGAATGCTTCGAGTGCTCTTGGAGTTAATCTTTGGCCAGAGCAAGTTGTGTTTTTGTCCAAGCTATATTCTCCAAAGCTACATCAGAATTATTACAGTGTACCTACAGCGCCATTATAACATCCCTCATACATCCTTCGGCTTCATATTCCACTCGTTCTTTTGAAGGTTTTAAAAAACAAAGGCGTTAACCGTGAAGACTACCTCCGTTCATTGATTCATACAACGAGGGGTTCTTTCAAGCAAAACCTATGCCTTCGGGTGGTATGCAAAGGCTCGCCGATAAAACCGCCCGCTTAAAGGCAATCACCTGCTACGTGACGCCATCTGGTGAAACAGGCAGTGTTTCACACTCACCATCAAGACTACGAGTGGTGCTGAGTAACACTCCCAGCTTTGCATGCACATAATTTGTCGATAAACGGGACGAAGGGACGACCACTAAAGCATCGGACGCATACTCCGTAGGCTGAATGGCCGTTTTTCGCCAAGGTCAAGTCCTTCGGTGCTTTTAAACTGAGCCGCTAGGGTCCCCTCTTTGTTCATTAAATTGGTCTTATGCCGATTTTCACAAATGTTTTATCGCATGTATGAACAATAGTTTCTGTATATATAATAATTGCAGCTATACAGACACTAATGCTCTTATCTCAGCATATAGTTGAACTAACTATTAAGCTATTATTATTTACATGTGTTTATCATTTTATTTATTGTCACGTAACCCTCTTTTCAGCCTTCAGACCCCATACCTCTGAGTAGTGTCGTCTTCGGTTCATCTCTGGTAAGTGCTTTAGTCCAGCACAAAATATGCGCTATTTCAATGAACTGAAAGTATTCCATAATATCTAGCAGCTATAAATGGTCGGCACTTCATTCAAAAGAAAACCAAATCACTGATATTACCAGTGTATATTTATTTTATTATGGTAATTACGTGTTCATAATTTGATGACACTGGAAGCTATGAAAATGCTACAGTAGACACTGCGAGAAAGTCACTACTGGGCACCCTAAACTCCAAACGTAGTGATAAGGGGACCTTGGAACGAAGCATAGAAACAGATGAGGCAAGCTGTTGTCGTTGGCGTTGAGCGGCTCGAGCATCCGCGGTATCTTGCCGCCCTCCTAGGTTACCAGTTGACACAGGTGTAGAGGCGTTATCTCTGAGGATGTGTTCCGCCAAGACAGCCGCGTCCAAGCTTGGGCTGAATGTCCGCCAGTCTAGGCCCTAATTTTGTAGACCATTGACGAGGTTGATCTCATCGGTACCTGCTGTTCCTGGCCGAAGGTTACTCGTGAGCTGCCCCTGGGCAAACGTTCGTGTGCCCATGGAGATATCTGAGCTGTGAAGCTTTAGGTTTGAGCTCAGACGCGGCTGCCCAGCCAGAGCGCATTATCAGAGTCAGCGCTTCAAGTGCAGCGCAACCGGTAGCCTAGGAAGGCTGCTTCATACAGCCGAGCCTCGAGCCACCACAGCAGCATGTCTCATAGACGTGCGTGCTTTGTGCAAAGGCATCTTCATCACTGAAGCAGACGAGGTCCCGTGTCTTCTCTCTGGGATCAAATGTCCGTTGAGAACTGAGTAATTCAGAACTGGGTGTGTATAATCTATGCATGTTGGTTATGCTGTTCTCATTAACGTTGATACAGGTGTCTTAGGTAATGTTATAAGATCTCGTGTTAGTGTGATTGAATGTCGTTTTCAAGCAATCTTGTTTTTGGGGAGTGTCTTAAAATCTTGCCTCGGACATTCGAAAAATAAATTGACGTGCATGTTGTAAAAAAAGAAACCACAACGTCTCAGATGGGTTCCCAGCTACAGGACGACGACGTTTGTCAAGCTTGTTCGTGGTTCAAAGCCATTCCTGAAAGAGGAGTTTCGCAGAATATAACAGCCTTAGGGGGTGCATGTAAGGTTAGATGGCGCGGAATTAAAATGATGAATGAAGGACCATGAAACACGGGCAAGGCTTTGGGCAGTGCAGCACGCGAGCGACCCACAGCCGGGGTCCACAGTTGCCAAGATCTGAATTACGGATCTGCATTAGAGTACCCTGATTATTAGGCCACCATTTAAGCTTCGGATAGTGAAATACTGAACGATGCTGAAACAAATGGCAGAATAATAGGTAGTTAAACAGCACCTTCTCTGTTTTTTCTGTCGTATCTTTTTCACAAGTCATTATTATGAAGTGGCGCAGGTATCGAAGTAAAGAAACTGAAGAGCCTTTTCGTAAAGGCAGGCTCACCACACTTAAGAAAACTTCACCAAGTGCTGCCATAACACAAAAGGGCTATCAACTATCAGTAATATGAAGAGCTGTGCTTGTTTGCACGAAGGTACTGCTTATTAAAATTGTCATGCTATACTCGTTGCAGCGATAAACGTTGTCATGTTCAGGTTCTGATGGCAGCCTGCTTAGACCCAGACATTATTAGCACCTTCTGCTGTGTTGCAGGTCTGACCACTACCGTGGTCAGCTGCTTCGCAGCCGCTGGGGACTGAGGGCCATAGGTTAGCGTTTATCCCTAAAAGCCTATCTGGTAAGAGGAGTCTAGCTGTACTATTTGAGGATCTAGAGTGTGTTAAATGAGATGTACTAGGCCTAAGTAACGTTAGGAGGACAGATGAGGCCTATACAGTGCTAAAGAATAGGCACGTTCTTTGCTATCGTATCTAGGCTGACAGAAGAGAACTCGGCGTGTGGTTCCTTATACACAGGATTATGATAACTGGTAACATAGAAGAATACTATAGCATTATTCAAAGGCTGATATGTATTGTAATTAAACACATCGCATACGCCCTTGAACTCCGACCCCATACCTTGCCGTCGACAATACAAGTTCACGCTGCCCAGCAGACAGTACCTCACGCAGCCATTGCTTTCCCCGGCAACTTCATCAAATGTAAAGAGGATTATTTGGCGGCCCTAGCGAATAGGTGGACGATTGGAGTTGCCACAGGACTAGAAAGACGGTGGTTCTCGAGCACCAATCTCGTGGGGCCTTCCTCTCGTAATTATGCTTGTAGTTTGCTGTTGTTGTCTGCAAACCTTCAATATATACTAAATAAGAAATACAATTAGGATGACTGCTAGTTGGGCGTGTTGGTAAAAGTTCATGATAAAGCAAACGCTAAAAATTACACACACTCAGAGAGGACACAGACGAGCGCTTACTAGAAACTGAAAGTTTTATTTCGAAGTGAACACTAATAAATACCTAACACGCATATACGTCTGTCGCAACCTTCTCCGTCATGATAAACAACGTGATATACCAAAATAATCACTCCCATAATCGATGGCACACAACGGGAAACAACCACGTGTCAATAACGCAAATAATAAAACATAAAAAATGCACTGGGATATGTTGCGTCCAAAAAAAGCAAATTTCGCCTCTGTTAGTAGAACAGACGCTTGACTGACGCAACTATCGCCTTCTTTCCTAATTCTACACGCTTCCATTACTTCCTTCGTCGTCCGCCTCTTGTGCCTGTGAATTATTCGTGTGTCTGCAAATTTAGATTGGCAGATGCATTGCTAGCAGTGCATCGCTAAGTGTGAGCAAAGGGCATCTTTTAGTGAACTTTGATGTTCACAAAGGCACACATTCAGGCACCAACACACATGACTGACGTATTTTTTTTCACATGTGAAAGGAGTTTCGTATACAGTATCGTTTTTGCACTCAACATACCTCCTGTCACGTTTTATGCGACATCTGTCCGATTATCCCGTTGCTTTCTTGTTGGCTAGCTTTTCTACCCGCACGCCATACGTTGTATAGAATGCAGGTTGCCTTTTCATTTGAAAACAAATTATTGAAGATTTGCCCAACAGAAGAAAGGCTAGCCAATAAGAAAGAAACAAGAAGGACCTCGAACAGGCTACTCAACAATTGACCAGATTCATCTACCAATTAGGTAAAAGTGAAGTACTCAGAATACAGCCAACTACTATAGCCTTCATAGTAAAGGAGAAGGCATTTGATTCATCAGAATTATCAGCAGTCATGCAGGCACTGCGAAATCAGGGTGTCGATCAATCATTTATAAAAATATCCTGAAAGAAATCTACAGAGAATCAACTGCCACCATAGTGCTCCACAAAGAAAGCGACAGAATTCCAATGAAGAAGGGTGTGAGACAAGGGGATGCAATCTTCCCAATGCTATTTGCCGCGTGCTTGCAGTTGGTTTTCAAAGGCCTAGAGTGGGAAGAGTTAGGAATTAGAGTTAAAGATGAGTACCCTAGTTACCTGCGCTTCGCCGGTGACAATGCATGGCGGAGTAACTCAGGGGAAAAATTACAACTCATGATTACTGAGATAAATAAAGAGAGCAGAAAGGTCAGTTTTAAGGTATTATGCAGAAAAGAAAGTAATGTACAACAACCTTGGAAGAAACCTGTGGCTTTATATATGTATTAGTGTACTTGAAGTTTTAAACTACTACGTGTACTCTGGACAGGTAATAACATCGGAGCCAAACCACAAGCTTGAAGTGACTAGTAGAATAAAAAATAGGGTGGAGCACATACGGCAAGCACTCTTAAATCATGACTGGTAAATTGCCACTAATCCTCAAAGGGAAGGTATATAACAGCTGAATCTTGCCGGTACTAACCAACGGATCAGCAACCTCGAGGCTTACAAAGAGGTTCAGCTTAAATAGAGGATGACGCCGCGAGCGACACGAACGAAATTATAGCTAGGTGTGACCTTCACAAAGAAAAAAAGAGTAGAGTGGGGCAGGGAACAAACCGGCGTTAAGAATTTCTTAGTTGAAATTAAAAAGAAGGAAGGAGCATGGGCCTATCATGTAGTGCGTAAGCAGGAAAACCACTGTTCAATAAGGGTAACGACTCGATTTCCAAAGGAGGAGAGCGGCTAGGGGGACACAGAAAATTAGGTTGGCGGATGAGATAAGAAAGTAGGGGGGTATTACGTGGCAGAAGCAAGCATGGTGCCAAGTTGAGTGGGGAACGTGAGTGAGGCCTTAGTCCTGCAGTGCATGTAGTCAGCCTGATGATGATGATGACGACGGGGATGACGAGGACGATGATGAAGATGATTATGACTCATTCCAGCTTTCGTCGCCATCGAGCCCTGTTCCTGGTCCAAGTGGGGTAAGTGTTTATTGCTAAAGCGATCTATGTTATTATTGAGGTTCACATAGCACAGAACTTCTCGTCTACCTTTACACACTGAAAGTCAGGCTGGCAAGGTGAGGGCCGAAAATAACATTGGCAATTAAGGTGTACGACTGAATCCATCTGGTGAGTAACCTATATTAATATAGTTGAAATCTTAAGAAGGAACACGAAAGTTGATGTTGTGTTAAAATCATGTTTCATCTTCAACTGCGGCAACAATGTCTCTCAAAACACAACTTGAGAGCTGCAGCACCAAGTGGAACTCCTTAGTTGTATTTATTGTTCCACGCCTGTTAATATTGCCACGTTCCATTTCACAAGTTTTTTGTTATCGTTTCGAAACACCACACGATTATCGGCGCAAACCGCGCCTGCAGGTTTCGAGAAGGTTCCGGACTGTAGTAGATCGATTCGAACTGTGCGAACGGTACGGATTGTTCTGTAACCTACGCCACCGCCAGCGATAACGCTAGAACATTCTACGGTAGGGTATAAATGCCGACGCGCTTCGCCGCTTGTCAGTTGTTGATCGAAGGCCGACGTTGCGTTCGCCGCTATCAGTCCGAGACTGCTATCTGTGCAAGACTGCTGCTGTAATTAGACTTTCCCTTTACCGGGCACAGGTTCGCCCAAATAAACAGTTGAATCCCAACACGAAGTTTTCTGTCTTTGGCCACGTCACGACCCGTGACATCTGCTGGAGGTGCTGCTTCGTTCATGTACCGGACGCCCCCGTCAAGCCGTGAACCCAGCCCCCTTCGCGGAGAAGACACCGACGCCAACCAAGAGCAGCGAACGAGCCGCCGACAGCAAGGTCTCCCACCGGAGTACGGCCTGCTACAAGACAAGGCGCGGAAGACCAAGACCATGACCTCGACTGCAGCGACAATGACAACCGGAGCGTCCCAGCCCGCGATCGTCATTCATCAACCCAGGGAACCACCAACGTTCCATGGCTCATCGTTTGAAGACCCGGAAACCTGGCTAGAAACATACGACCGTGTGGCCGCCCTCAACCACTGGGACAACGAAGAAAAGCTCCGTCGTGTGTACTTCTACCTGGAAGACACCGCAAGGACCTGGCTAGAGAATCGGGAGTCCACGCTCCGAACGTGGGATGTCTTCTGCGGCGCATTTCTTCAAACGTTCGCAAGCGTCGCTCGCAAAGAGAGGGCCGCTGCTCTACTCGAGACCCGGGTTCAGCTACCAAATGAAAAGGTTGGAATTTTCACAGAGGAGATGACCCGCCTATTCCGTCACGCTGACCCAGACATGCCTGAGGAAAAGAAAGTTCGTTTCCTCATGCGAGGGGTCAAACAGGAGCTCTTCGCGGGACTAATGAGGAATCCACCGAACACCGTCCAAGAATTTGTATCCGAGGCGACCACCATCGAAAAAACGCTGGACATGTGCACCAGACAGTATAATCGTCGCCTGACTCCAGAATGCGCTGCTGCTCAAGCCAGTGACCCCGACGACCTGCGTGAAACGATCCGAGCAATCGTGCGTGAAGAGCTGCGCAAACTGTTGCCTTCGGCGCAGCCTCAAGTGGATTCGATCGCCGACATTGTGCGAGAAGAAGTCCGGCAATCGCTTCGAATTTCCGAAACACCGCCGCCCGAGCCAGAAACTATGAGCTACGCCGCTGCAGTACGCCACAGCGTTCCTCCCCGTCCACGCCAAAACGCCGCCCCGTCACACTTCCGTCGCCAGACGCCACCGCCGCCACCACCCCAACCGACGTCCTACCGTTCCCCAGCGGGCCAGCGCAGTGCACCGAGGAAAACGGACGTTTGGCGTGCACCTGACAACCGCCCCCTCTGCTACCACTGCGGCGAGGCCGGGCACACATACCGCCGTTGCCAGTACCGACAGATGGAACTGCGTGGCTTCGCCGTCAATGCACCGCGTCCGCAGCCAGGAGATCGGCCACGTGACATCGCCGACTACATGGCAGGAACTCAATGGACACCACGAAGTCCTTCCCGTTCGCCGTCACCCAGCCGCCGCATGTCACCGCACCCCCGGCAGTACTCTGGCCCAACGCGGGCCGGTCTCCTAGCCCGTATCCGGGAAACTAAGGGCAGCAACTGATGGAGGTGCGGTTGCTGTGCGACGAACTACCGAAGATCCTCCGACGACGACGCCGACGCGACGGAGCTTTTTGAACACAACCCCAACCAGGCAAAGCCCTGAAGGCAAAAGCTCACTTACCGAAGGTGGCCGGACGACGCAACATGGAAGCAGCGGAACAAGCCGACGCAGCCGTGACCCGACGCCACGCCCTAACTGTAATGCGAGACGGCGAACTAACGACCTCGACGTTCTTATCGACGGCCACAGTGTGACTGCTCTTGTCGATACTGGAGCCGACTATTCTGTCATCAGTGGGTCGTTCGCCGCGAAGTTAAAGAAAGTTAGGACAGCTTGGAAAGGCCCTGAAATCCGCACAGCCGGAGGCCATCTCGTAACGCCTGCAGGAATCTGCACAGCGAGAGTCACCATTAACGGCCGTATTTATCCTACAGACTTCGTAGTCCTACAGCGTTGCTCGAGAGATGTCATCCTTGGCATGGACTTCTTATGCCTCCATGGTGCTGTCATCAACCTAAAAACAAGGTTGATAACGTTATCCACAGAAGAAGCACTACCGCCGCGCACGCCGTCAGGACACCATGCCTTGAATGTGCTGGAAGAACAAGTCACCATTCCGCCTCGCTCAAGCGTCATTATTTCAGTCGGCGCTCCTAAATCACCTGACTTGGAAGGCGTCGTTGAAGGCAGTCAGCATCTGTTGGTCACCCGAAATATTTGCGTCGCAAGAGGAATTGCAGAGCTGCGGGGAGGCAAAGCAACGGTTATGCTCACGAATTTCAGCAATGAGTACAAACATGTGAACAAAGGAACAACGGTCGCATACATCGAAGAAATTGTCGAAGCCACCAGCGCTTTCGCCCTCGCCGATTTTGTGGAACCTGCTCAGAGGAACCAAGCCCCTCCCATAGCTTTCGACGTCAATCCCAGACTTCCGAACGATAAGCAAGAACAGCTCAAGGCCCTGCTCCTGCAATACGAAGATTGCTTTTCGTCGTCATCGAAAATTCGGCAGACCCGAATCACGAAACATCAAATCATAACCGATGAAAATGCCAGACCACTCCGTCAGAGTCCGTACAGGGTTTTGACGCGAGAACGTGAGGCAATGAAGAGACAAGTTGATGAAATGCTGCGAGATGACATTATCCAGCCGTCCAAGAGTGCGTGGGCATCCCCAGTGGTGTTAGTGAAGAAAAAGGATGGGACCCTACGTTTCTGCGTCGATTATCGCCGCCTGAACAAAATCACAAGAAAGGACGTGTATCCTCTCCCACGAATAGACGACGCCCTTGATCGGCTCCATAACGCCAAGTACTTCTCGTCAATGGACCTCAAGACTGGCTATTGGCAAATTGAAGTCGACGAAAGAGACCGAGAGAAGACGGCGTTTATAACACCGGACGGCCTCTTCGAGTTTAAGGTGATGCCCTTCGGCCTTTGCTCAGCGCCTGCAACTTTTCAACGCGTTATGGATACAGTACTGGCAGGATTGAAGTGGCAGACTTGCCTTGTGTACTTGGACGACGTCGTCGTGTTTTCCTCGAGTTTCGACGAGCATCTTCGGCGCCTTGAAGCTGTACTTCAAGCCATCAAGACGTCCGGACTCACACTGAAGCCAGAAAAGTGCAGATTTGCGTATGAGGAGCTCTTGTTTCTGGGGCACGTTATCAGCAAGTCTGGAGTTCGTCCCGATCCACGGAAAACAGCCGCTATCGCCGACTTCCCGCCGCCCACTGACAAGAAAGCCGTGCGCCGATTTCTGGGCCTGTGTGCCTATTATAGGCGGTTCGTGAAAAACTTTGCCCGCATCGCCGATCCTCTCACTAACCTTACCAAGGCTGACGTGGAGTTTAAGTGGGAAACGCCGCAGGAACACGCTTTCCAGGAGCTTAAACATCGCCTCCAGACGCCTCCGTTACTTGCCCATTTCGACGAATTCGCCGAGACAGAAATACATACTGACGCAAGCAGCGTAGGTCTTGGCGCCGTTCTTGTGCAGAGGGCTGACGGACTTGAAAGGGTTATTAGTTACGCCAGCCGATCGCTATCCAAAGCAGAAGCAAATTATTCCACAACAGAAAAGGAGTGCCTCGCCATCATCTGGGCTACGTCGAAATTTCGCCCCTACCTCTACGGCAGGCCCTTCAAAGTTGTGAGCGACCACCACGCCTTGTGTTGACTAGCCACCTTGAAGGACCCTTCAGGTCGCCTCGCACGATGGAGCCTGACACTTCAAGAATATGACATTACTGTCGTTTACAAGTCCGGCAAAAAACACTCCGACGCTGACTGTCTCTCTCGTGCGCCGGTCGACCAACCGCTACCCGACGACTCGGATGACGACTACTTCTTGGGAACGATAACTACCGACGACTTCGCTGAACGACAGCGGGCCGACCCGGAACTGAAAGCCCTAATAGAATACCTCGAAGGCAGGACCGCCGAAGTCCCGAAGGTATTCAAGCGCGCACTTGCGTCGTTCTTTCTACGAAACGGTCTTCTACAAAAGAAAAACTTTTCACCGCTTCGAGCTAAGTACCTCCTTGTGGTGCCTTCAGCTCTGCGACCAGAACTCCTGCAGGCCCTGCACGACGATCCGACGGCAGGGCACCTCGGTGTTTCCCACACGCTCGCGAGGATACAAGAAAGGTACTACTGGCCACGTCTTACCACCGACGTCACTCGTTATGTGAGGACATGCCGGGACTGTCAGCGACGCAAGACACCGCCGACAAGGCCAGCGGGACTTCTGCAGCCAATTGATCCACCTTGCCGACCTTTCCAGCAGATTGGTATGGACCTATTGGGGCCGTTCCCGACGTCGGCTTTCGGAAACAAGTGGATCGTGGTAGCTACCGACTACCTCACCCGCTACGCCGAGACAAAAGCCCTGCCAAAAGGCAGTGCATCCGAGGTAGCTAAGTTCTTCGTTGAAAATATCGTCCTACGTCACGGCGCCCCGGAGGTCCTTATCACCGACAGAGGAACGGCATTCACTGCCGACTTAACTCAAGCGATCTTGGCATACAGCCAAACAAACCACCGCCGGACGACAGCGTACCACCCACAGACCAACGGCCTCACCGAGCGGCTTAACAAGACGATCGCCGACATGCTGTCAATGTACGTCGATGTCGAACACAAGACGTGGACACCATTCTTCCGTATGTGACCGCATACAACACGGCGGTGCAGGAGACGACGCAGATATCTCCATACAAACTGGTCTACGGAAGGAGCCCGGCAACGACGTTCGAATCCATGTTACCCAACGTCACCGACGAAGAAAACCTCGATGTGAGCGAGTACCTTCAACGCGCCGAGGAAGCCCGACAACTTGCTCGTCTTCGTATCAAGAATCAACAGACGACCGACAGCCACCGTTACAACCTTCGACGACGCTTCGTGGAATACCAGCCCGGTGAACGTGTTTGGGTGTGGACGCCGATACGCCGACGTGGACTAAGTGAAAAGCTTCTGCGACGGTACTTCGGACCGTACAAGGTGGTTCGACGTCTCGGCCCACTTGATTACGAGGTTGTCCCCGACGGCATCACGAACTCTCAACGACGCCGATCGCCACCTGAAGTCGTCCATGTCGCGCGCCTCAAGCCGTTTCATGCACGTTAACAAACTGAAACAGTGTTTTTTTGTATTATTGTTGTATTGTATTTATTCATTGTACTTTCTTGCATTATTATTGTACCTTCATCTTTAGTTAAAGCATCGGGACGATGCCTTTTTTCAGAGGGGGGCAATGCCACGTTTCATTTCACAAGTTTTTTGTTATTGTTTCGAAACACCACACGATTATCGGCGCAAACCGCGCCTGCAGGTTTCGAGAAGGTTCCGGACTGTAGTAGATCGATTCGATAAGGTCACGCCCACTGTGCGAACGGTACGGATTGTTCTGTAACCTACGCCACCGCCAGCGATAACGCTAGAACATTCGACGGCAAGGGTATAAATGCCGACGCGCTTCGCCGCTTGTCAGTTGTTGATCGAAGGCCGACGCTGCGTTCGCCGCTATCAGTCCGAGACTGCTATCTGTGCAAGACTGCTGCTGTAATTAGACTTTCCCTTTACCGGGCACAGGTTCGCCCAAATAAACAGTTGAATCCCAACACGAAGTTTTCTGTCTTTGGCCACGTCACGACCCCGTGACAATATAGACAAGCAAATTATGCGCAACACTCTTCTGCTACTGAACCAACAGTCACAACTCAATCGCTGCCGTGGTGGACGCGTTTTCATTAAGGTGATATGATAGATGTCGGTGCATTATGAGATGCCATTGCACATTGCGCAAAGCCAGATGAACAAAAATTCTGGAGCCTTACCCAAGACTTGCTACATAATCAAACAGTGGCCATAGCATGTGATTTCTCATATATGAAAGGAAAGGAAGGCTAACGTTGAAACGCCGAAGAACTGGGAGCAACACGACCTAAAGAATACTCCACGTGTTTTTGTATTCTCACTTTACACTCAAATACAAATGCATTCAGGTGTCACTACACCCTGCGCGTTTCGTCAACATCCTGTAGTTATGCGTTATAACTAGTAGTTATGCAATATGAATGCAGCTTGCACTAAATGTTATGGCCTAATTTTATTGACCTCTAATATTATCTGAGGCTTCACCTTGATACACGCCATTTTTATTTGTTGTAATTATATATTTTTTTCACGCGTCTGGCTTGCTTTATGCAACAAGGACACTTCTTATCACGCGAAAACGCTAAAGGCGTATGTACCTCAATTCAGGTGAAAGGTGAACAGCCGATTACCGGTGCTCCACCACAAGAGTTAATTCGCCACGAGTGTAGCAAACAACGATGGATTTAGCAAAATTTAAGATAAGGAATTTTTGATGTGACCTTCCTTTTTTCAACGCCAAGCCACATAACCAAACTATGTACTGAACTAAATGAACATTGGCATTACGTGTGCCCATTGACTCTTTTAAAAGGCACAAGTCTTTAAAATCTAATACTACGAATTGCAGTTTCATAAGCATTACGGATGCTACAGTGTACGTGCGTAATAACCAGAGCAACATAAAACATGTAGAACAACCGCGGCCTCACACCGATGCCATTATTCAGAAACTTAAAGGTATTGTAGAGGCGTGCCGGCGAAAATTAAATTTACAGCTCTACAATGCAACCACAGGGCCCCTAACTAAACGTTGAGCCTCAAGAAAAACTAATGTATTCTTCATACACAGAATACAAAGAATGTCCGAGGCCGCTTTCGGACATTCAGTGTACATCAACAATATTACCTTTTTAAAAAAACGTGTTGTTGGTGGAACATTGGTCAGAGAACATTTTTTACTGCAACGTTACAGGTACTGCCGCTAAACAATGTATGCAATCCAGCCATTATGCATCCAGGTATCTCCATTTCCAAACTCTCATTTTCTTTTCAGCATCACCCGCGATTCAGCCCAACCCCGGGACCAAGTGGGGTAAGTGTTTTAGCTTGATACAAAATTTGTGCACTACAATGACGGTGACAATGCATGCACTATATGTGGTATTTTGTATTTTTATGGCATTCAATAGAAAACATCAAAACCTATATATAACGCAAAGAAAAGTGGAAAATTTTCAATCAGGAATTTTTGGTTCTGTCTACTTTCTTAACCCACACGAAGGAACACCTTTAGTACAAACCCCGTTAACTTAGAAAATCGGGTGACTCAGACGTGATTTGGCTGAAAATAGTCTCAGCAGGTACATGCAATGTGTACTGGCATAAAACTCACATACTTTCTGTCATGTTTGGCCATAAGCGTATAATTCGCATGATGTTGGGAGTGCATCTAAGACGAAGCGGTGCAAATGGGTGATGCAAAAGTGCGAAAACGACGTTCAGGAATAACTGAAGTGGCTGTGCATCTTAAGGGAGGAGATGTGACCATCTACGATCTTGCCAGGTTTTGGTTGTTGGCTCCTGAGGCTTGAGCCACCGCTGCAAATTTTTATCCATGTTTGATTCGCGCCCTCTATCTATAGTCGCAATGACAGGGGCTGAAGTTAGAATTGCAACAAGTTTTGCTTTGTTATCACGATGTTTAATGGTGATTCTTACAAACCAGCCCTAGCTGTTGAACTTTGTGCTATGTTGAGGCGGATGCAACAAACAATGAGTAATAAAGGCTTCACACAAAGCTGATACTTGCACACACTACGAACTACATTCGTGAAAATGATGAAAATTTATCAGTAAACGTATGAACGATATCGAATTATAGAGAAAGGCCGAAAATGAAAACGAACATTGTGTCTCTCGGGTACGGCCGATTTCAATTTCAGTGAACTAAACTTGTTGTATAAAACCATCCAAGTTCCAGCGATGAAAGTATGCCTGCGCAATCAATGGCATTATTATCTTTGTTGCCGCAGAAGCTGGCTGTGGCTAACTCTTGCAGCGCAACTTCTGTAAAATGCTGGCAACAGTAAGATAAAATAATTCTTCTGGAGTCACGTTGGTTACTGTTAACAATAGTCCGGGACTATGTTGTCTGCATTTTATTCATTTTGTTTTGTTGCGCTATCCTCATTTCACCCTGGGCCCCGAATAAGTCCCCAAAAAAATTCCCTCCTGGTGGAAGTCCGGCAAGTGTTTTATTCTAATTCAAGCAATAAAATCTTCAGTATTCAAAGAAATCACAACGTAACTTTGGCGCTTTTTTGCGTGAAAAACGGATGCCAATATCTATCGCAATATTAAAAATAGCAATATAGCTACATAGCTTATTACATTTCATAAATTACGTGTATATAGCACCAAACTAAGCACAAAGATGGGTATTTTTTTTTCGAAATTTACTATTACACCACTTCTATTGGGGCTACTGATGATGTCCTTATTTAACAGATGGGAAAATGTGGGTAGGCGATATCCTATACAGTTGACTTCGCTAACTTCGTCTTGAATAATCAGCCTCGCTGGCTAGAGTGTTTCTTGGATTGAAATACTACTGCATACGCAGTGCTCAATTGGGTTACTCGATCAGTGTTTTTAAGATATTTCTCAAGAAGATAAGTAAATATACGATGTCGAGGATATGGCTTGATTGGCTGATTTAGTGGTTGAACTTGGATGAAATGCAAAGTACACGAATCCTTGAGCGCCCCTTTGCTTGTTTTTTTTCCTTTGCGTCACCTGTTTTGCCACAAATGAGCTGTTGTAATAAGTGGTGAAGCCTCAGAAGTCACTATTTTTGGACAAGTCTGCAGACCATCATAAGCTTGATTTATTTGTTGCCAAAAAACAACTCAAATATTTACATTCATTTGAATGAAATCTTGTAGGCAATGTTATAGGTACAGTGTCCGCCGAACCAAAGCAAGCCTAATGGTGTGGGTATTGTGCAACGTAGCCCCAAAACATCATGAGAACCCCTGGATGTTTGAGCAAGCTGAAAGTAATTTTTGGCCTGTGTAGCAAACTGTAGTCCCGATAAATAATTGCTAACCAAAAAACAGCACTATAGGTCGTTTAGGGTACTAAAAATATACAAACATACGAGCTAAACTGACATATTTTCCCCCTAGACGAAGTGAACGCTGTAACAAATGCAGCAATCAATTACTTTTACGCCTGAAAAAAACTTGAGATTTCGCATCACCAGAAAAATGAATGGCACATGCAACCACGGCAAGACAGAAAAGTATGAGGGAATCCAGGCGTAGCTGTGTCAATTTAAGTAAAGCAAGAGAGTGAAAAACAACTGGTGCAGAGGAGGAAATATATCAGAAAGGGGCAAAGAAAAAACAGCCACGTGCACAGCCGGTAGAGAGATATATGGAGAGTAGGGAGCATCCATTTACTGCTGCTTGGCATTTACGTCGAAGCAATCGTAGCCTGAAGGATAGGAAAATGGCACTCATCTATAATACAATGAACGACCTTACTAGAGACTCTTCCCAGTTACCAAGATAAGATATTGATGAAGACAATGCGCCACGCGTGTTCTGGTTTCTTAACAAACACCATGTTTAGACCACAGTCCAGCAATGGAAGGAAAAACAAAAGTGATGGTTCGAGTGGTCATATTGAGAAACGCAGTTGCGCTCTAGCATATAGGGCCCTGTATGATTACTGGACTGGTGTGGTGCTGGACGATAGGACAAAAAATTGGCCCTGTATCTGCACGTTAATCTGCAAATGTCGTCGAAAGACGATAGTTTTGCGTGTGGAGAGAGGGAAAAAACATTTATTTGATGTCCTGCGCAAAAAAATTGGTGAGTGGTGTCCTGGTGGCGCTGTGTTAGAGTGCCTAGAGCGTGCAGCAAAGGTGAACGAGCGCAACAAGTCACGTCATACGTGAGACATGAGCTCCGTCTGGCCGTTTTCATGAAAAACGAAGCGCACACCTATCTCAGAATTGATAAAGTGTAGAACGCAAGACGACGGGTAGGTGCCACTACTGTCTCGTCTTAGCAAAGCGTTGGAAACACTCGCCTTTTCGTGCAAGCGCTGCATGGTCAGCGTAGCGTGGCCAGCGAAGCGTGATAAGCGCTGCGGTCCTTAAAATTACTTATGTATGCTTTTTCTAGTAAAAGACGCACATGCAGGATATATACTCGTTGTTATGGTGCCCCAGACATGCGCAATATTTGCTTCTTACTTGACAATTGCACAAGTATGAACACAAAACCTTGAGCAACATTGGTGGGCGCTGCGGATCAGGTCAGCCGTTTCAAGTACCTGGTGCCGTTAAGAATGCACAAACAGACAAGTGTACAGACAGACATACAGACAGACAGACCAAAATTTTTGCGTCGAAGGTCCCCAAGAATAACTATCGTCTTTAAAACACATTGCACGAGTTTCAGTCAACACTGGCACGCCACCCTTGGGCCAGCTTTTGGGAGACAAAATCTGTCTTTTAGTTGCTTTTGGAAACTCCGCTGATATTCAGACCGCAATGTAGCTAAAGAAAAGGCACTGCTAGTAAATAAGAAGAAAAGCTGCAAAAAAAAAGAATAAGCGAGATTGGGCCATTTAACATTGACGCAACTTCTTGTCTGAGTATGACGCGTTACCACACTAAGAAAACAAACGCTCCTTTTTTATATTACAGTAAATTTAGAAGGAGCGTCTTTTTGTTACTTGGAATAGAAACACAAGTTACAATCCATCCGCGCTTGCGGAAACGTCCGTAACAGTAGTTAATTGGATAATAATGGGCTGTCCAGGATTTCAAAACGTTCATCTGACTCATTTTGCTGTGGGACGCAGTAGCGTATCTGCAAATGTAGGTGCATCAGCACTGACTCGCGAAGTGATCGATCATACATCTGTGCGGAACATCGCACGTCCGAACTACTGAACACTGCACTGTTCGTCAGCCGTTTCCACATATTGCCTGTCGTGATGTAAAGGGTTCTAACAACGTAAACGCGAGCACAAAAAGACGAATGGCACAAATGACAGGGCAGAATTTAGAAATCAGGCATATAAAAGAAGGCAATTTTATGAACAACACCACACATGTGCGCAGAACTTCACACCACGTAACGACTGGCCCACAAAACCACACTGATATGATATGTGATTCTTGTGTATTCGCTCTGAAGAACAGACTTTTCGACTGAGAGCTGGGCTGCGTGCCTAACGATTGTGGCGAAGAATGTCTATATTCTTCTAAACTAATTTAATGATCCTTTGAATTCCCTTTTTACCATAGCTAACTCAAGCGAGGTCAGATTTGCTTCTTTGGCACCCCACATTAAAACCTACATATAGCAAGTTTGAATGATGTTAAGAAACCTTTCACAGCCTGGACAAGCTGCCGGTGGTATGGGGCAACCAGCGACACCATTGCATTCGGAAGGACTGGCTACCAGAGTAAGTTGATATTCTTTATCAATAATATTTTGTTGTGAATAACTTCTGTTGAAGCACACTAATGAACTGATTCATGGAACTCGTTAACACACTTGAAAGAAGAAGCACGCGCTTTAGAACGTATATTGTTTTAGAGCATGTTCACATTCATCACGCAATTAATACCTGTTATACATGGCCCCTTTTGCAAGATCATTCAGTTCATGGCCATCGAAACGCCATTACTCTATTGGCTTGAGCAAGTTGTCGCACTGCTACAAAGCAGTTTTGAACAGCGATATAGTGATTCAGGCGTTTTTTTTTAATTTTGAGACGTTTTGTGGCACTGAGAATGTTTATTTTTGTATTCATACCCTCAAAGCTAACGGGAAGTTTTTCAGAAGCTTTGAAAAAAAATATTTCAAGAAAACCAGTGTTGTGCATCTGAAAAACAGCAACATTGCAAATACTGTCCCGATTACTTAGGTTTAAGTAGTGTCCTATAGGATTAAAAAGAATGCAGGACGCCGTTTTGTCGCCATTGGGCTCTCCACCTCCAACAAACTGCCTGTGCAAGCATTTGAATGTCTGCAACGAAAAGCCAGACATATCCAAAAAGCAACACGCCATGCGGTTTGTGACCTAAAAAAGTGGCTTCATGCAATGAGATTCCAATGTCATGTGGAGATCTTCACATCATCCAAACTGGCCGACGTGTCAATCATCGGTTGCGTGGACGCACCGATTTCAAGCAAAAGTGGGGCATCTACATGGCCTTACACTTGTGGTTGTTCTGGCTTCCTATAATCCGACTTCCGTTATTGGGAAGTACTGAGACCACGCGAGGGATTTATGAGGCATCATGCATAGAACAGCTCGGACACAGTTGCTTAAGGAGGCCCTGTGTGTCCCTCTCGAACAGATAGCTGGCGTTTTTGAAACGTGAGTCACTTCGGTGTTGCTTTTACTTGTTAGGTTTTGAGGCTCATAAAGAGCTTTTGTTATTGCTTTGCGTTCTTTCAGCTTCTTTACTCACATCGTTTTACCTTTTAACGACTTCCGTCACTGAACTCTGTTGTATTTCGGTCACGTTCATTCATGCTGGCCAGCTTTTTTAGCCTCGTTTTCATTTCGAGTATGAAATATTTCAGCAAGTTGCCTTTTCCTTTGAGGCTGTCATGACCCTTGCCAAATTTCTCGTGAAATCTAGTGTACTTTTTTGTCGCTTAGTTTGCATGAGCAAGCTGAAAAGGCGCCCGATTGGTAGCGCAAAAGAAGAAAAACAAACGTTGCCGATACCTCTATTCAAGAATAGGTATAACATAGAAATTAATGTGCATTCACAGAAGTACTTGAGTGTTTGTTGTGCATTGTTTCAGCAACAGGGAAAAATTACAGAGCCATGTGTTGAGAGACAAGCAGCTTGAAACTTGCAGCGCATATCCCGAGCAGAAAGCAGGCGCGAAGTTAGCGCACAAAAGACGAGTGTGGACTAACAACTATCGCGGTTGGACACTTTCAGCACGCTGTTTAAACAGACACAAAGAATCACTAGACGTGCGCACAAGTATATTCACAGCTTCATAGGACAAGTGCGAATAACTGTCACCTTTCTTTGTTCATCGTCAACAGCTTACCCCTTTCGTAAACACGGCTAGTGTGCACTAAATGTGTAACACGGCTGCGCAAGTCAGCAAAGTAACAATCCTCTACCTATTTACGTGCCTGATAATCGCGCACGTAGAAAACACAACGCTCCGCGAAGGTGTAGCTTCGTGGAGGCGACGACCTTTAGAGCACACACAACGTTAGAGTGCCGCGATGTGCTATTTCGTCTCCGCTCTGTTCAGCGTGGAGGCAAGTGCGCCGTCTACTACAGCGGACGTCATTATTTGGCCCACTCCTCAATGAGGGCGCTGCAAGCGCGCGACTTCGTGGCCTTTTGCTTTCAAGTGAAGGTACTTAGCACGGGAATTGCCTTCGCAAACACAAGATTGTTCACAAATCTCGCTACTTTTGAGTTTGCAGGCACGCATCTCAACAAGTAAACGAATGATTCGCTCCTGAAAGTGTTGCAGAACGTATCCATCTTGACCGGCGGCGGCGCCACTCGGCTGCTAGCTGCGGCTGAGTGGTGCACTGCTGCGGACATAACTATCTACTTTTTTTACTTCTTGGGTGGATATGTTCGTGTGTGTTTTTTAAGGGGTGAAGCTCTTGACGTTGTGGATCATATGTCTCGTGTCATCGCTGTAGTAGCCAGCTCTCTTCAAGTCCTTAGAATGCCCGCTGGATGGCGGTACTTGTGCATGATGAATACATGATGAAAATATGCCAGATCACGGTGCTTGGAGCGTTCAGTAAATGCACAGACAGACAGATAAACGAACGAATGGACGCACAGGCAGGCAGACAGACAGACGAACGGGACAAGCAGATGCACGCACGGACGCACGAATGGAAGGACGAATGCATGGACGCTTCACCCCCTCATCATCATTGACTCCGAGGATATGCTGTAATTTTTTAAGGCACGACAGGCTGGATTCATTAAAGCAAGATAAAGATGTGGAAAAGTGCAGTGGAAAACAGTAAAAGAAAGGTATTTTCCTAAACTGTCGAAAGAAAAAGGAACTGCTCCTTCCATGAAGGCACCTAATATTTGCTTTTATGTGCGTCTCACGTTATTCTAGCTCGAAGTCTCGATGTTCGACCTAGTATTTAAAGGCGCTATATAAATGTCCTCGTCTTTCTTAATCTGAGCCTGCAATTCATTCACTGGAGCAATTGAATTAGCGAAACATAACAAAATGACAGCACATACGCGGACAGAATGATGAGTTTTGGGAAGCGTCCATTCATCCGTCAATGCGTGCATCTGTCTGTCCGTGCATGCACCCGGTCGTCTTCAGCGTGAACGATGAGTGTGGCAAAGCGTCCGTCTATGCATCCGTGCGTGTGTCCGTTTGTCCGTGCTTGCGTTCGGGCGCCTGTCCTTGTGTCCGTCCGAGTGTCTGTCTATACGTCTGTAGGCGGGACATTTTCGTTCAATTTCTAATTGGGGGCTCGATCGGGCAGGTTTTCATTTTATACCTGCTAACTTCGTTTTTAGCTAACATGTGCACATGCAGCAATGACATTCAAAGCCGTTTTAGGCGAGTTTAGATGTAATTATGCACATGCACATTAGGTTTCGTACAGCTGTATGCAAGCGATCATATATAGTCCTATTGCCACAATAGGTCATTTTCAAGCAATCCCACAACTCCAAGCGGGCACGCGAAACAATCCGGGAAGAGTGTGTACATCGAATACGCCGGCGGTTCCGTTGCGATCTCCTCGTTAGTGCCGTGGGACCCAATAAAAACGATACTAATAAAAAAATTGTTGCTGCTTTCGACTAGAAATAAATTCTAAATATTACACATGCCTGAACGCACCTGCATGTTTCTCTGCGCATGAAATGCGGCCGGAATCGGTGTATAAGTGCATGTTATTGAGTCACACCTATATTATGAAGGAGATACATAAGGCATGTACCATTTAAGCGACAGGTGAGTTATCGTGGGCCAATACCTGCATTTAAAACGTACTCTCAGCAGCAACATGAGTACGAACACCGAATTTTCTATTTGTCAATCCATGCTGCGCAAAAAGCATAACTTGGAGTGGATTGTTGCCGTTTTTATAGCCACAAGTATTTCATAATCACACCTGCATGAATAAAACAAAACAAGAGGAGATATCCGCAACTTCTAAAGTACTATGTCCAAGCACACACCAAACTCCAAAATTATGAGAACAGATCAAACGCCATAAAACCTTTTGGAGTTACCTATTCACTTAACGTTCAATCATGTTAAGGTGCCACTAGTACGCACCCAAACACGACGTCTAAACCACGCACACAACTTGCAATAGTCTAATCGGTGACAGTGTTACTAGTATTATAAACGCTGTCTAAAAATTTATCCCCCAAGTTCCCGCCGTAGCAGAAGAAACGTTATAGAAAACATCAACAAAGCTTGAAATAATCACGCTCCATACACCAGAGGCAGTCGTTAGCTGCCACTAGTCGCTCTTTATTCTCACAGTGAATAAAAAATCTTTTTTTACGATTGCTTGGCAAACAATATAGCTTCCACACAATGCCCTTTGTGGCACGAAGCATGCAGTCATCCTACGGGGTTTGGAACGAATTGGAGGGCTGACAAAGCAGAAGGCCCAGTGTACTCGGTTAAACAAGTACGGTGTGTGCTAAAACATGGCGGAAGCACACGGCGAGGCAGCTTCGACCCCTTCGAAAAATGACCGCATTATGAACAGGGGCGCGCGAATCGAGTAACTCTACCCAACGTGAGCCTGTCACAGCATCTCGCTACTGATAAGAAAAATGTGCTGAAGTACCAAAGCTCCATGGACAGCCAAACAGTATATAGTGTATTGTCGCGCTACAACGCGAATAAAACACATATACACAATGGGACGACGAAAGCAGCGTGTTCTCAACAGCTGAGCCACAGGATCATCTTCTTCGGCCTTGAGAGAAGCTAGAGGCCCACTACCTCGTTCCCACTAAATGCCCCATTAGAGAGTTTTAGTACTGCGGAATGGTGCTACGTACGCATCACGCAAGCGCCTTGCGTTACGTGGCGTCGTTTGCCACTAATCGGCTTTTAGTACGCCGTAGTACCCGCGTACGTAACGAGTGAGAAGCGTGTTGCGCCATCTGGTAGATCAAAATAGAAGCACGTGTTGTTGACAGCCAATGTGAGCCAATCCAAGTGTTATAGCCAGATTATGGCCATATTTTAAGCCACAGAGCCGGAAGGTGGTTGCCTTCGATGCCGCCATTTTGCAAAACGAAGTCTCGCGCTGTCGCGAACTTGTTCGAGAACGGCGCGATCAGCTCATACGTACGCACACACGCATCTCATGCGTGCGTACGTAGCGGCTGCGTACGTAACGCGATACGTGCGCGTTGCGGTCTGCGCATGGGCACTACTCAGAAAGTGGCGTCC